AATAGGCTATCATGGCCGTTTCTCGATACCAAGTTCAGTTCAGTTTCAGTTAATTGTCCCCTAAGAGAAACTTATCTTGCAGCCAGGTAAACATACAGGTCACACAACAGATAAAACCCACATACACATACCCATAAACAACACAGACTGCTAATTAAAAAAAAATAAAAAATACCAAGTACGTAAACTTCAGAAAAAATGGCGTTCGTCGGCTCCAGTTTGTATCCAGCCTCACACGGACACTTCAGATGCCCCAACACCTGTGATGAGATGACTAAACGCCTGTGAAGAGACGACTCAACGCCGGCGATATGTTATGCCCTAAATATTACATGATTAACTAAATGTGTTTTTCCATGTACTTTTCTGTAATGCACTTTCTGTAAAGCTGCTTTGAAACAATATGTATTGTGAAAAGCACTATACAAATAAACTTTAATTGAATTGAATCTAATGTCATAATAGGAATAACTGGCCTGTGACTATCACCTTATTCTGTAATGCGGTAGTAAGCTGATTTCTCTGAATGTGAAAGACTTATGTTTCACATTAGGAATTTTGGGGGCATTTCTGCCATGTTCTGTGGCACTTTTGCATCAAGCCTCCATTAATATCTGACCCCGGATCCAAGTCATATCTAGGCACTCTGTGGTTGGCACCAGTGTTGTAGTCGAGACCACCTCACTCGAGTCCGAGTCGACACCGAGACCAGAGAGAGTCGAGTCCGAGACCAGAGACGGTCGAGTCCGAGTCGAGACCGAGACCAGTGAGGGTTGATTACCTAATTTACTTTTATTTACTTAGAGAAATCCTTTTTTTTTTTTTTTTTTTTTTACTGAATTTACTTAGAGTTTAAAAAATATGTATATATATGTATATCTATAGTTTAGGGTAAAAAGGCCACATAGTAGGTGGTGTTAAAAGTAATTTTATTACAATTTGTCATGCGCAGTTGCGCACTAGAAAATCACCAATCACTGGGCATGTCAATCAATTTAAAGAAATATTTTATTAACATACATTAATAATCATGAAAAATATTTTTAATTGAACTCGAGTTGACTCGGGAATAATTCAGAGTCCTAAAAAAAAAAAAATGTTCGAGTACGAGTCAATTCCGAGTCCAAATGGACACGAGTCCATGACAAGACCAAGACCATTAAAATATGGTCTCGAGACCGAGTCCGAGACGAGTCAGAGTCTCGAGTACTACAACACTGGTTGGCACTTTTGACCAGAGAGCTAATAACCACCTAAAAATATATACATATAATATATTTATGTCATAATCTAGTTTTCATTAATGATTTCACAATCATGATCATATAGTGTTGATTCAGGTTTTTCCCACTGTTTATGATCATGCACTTTTTGCGGTAATTCAGAGACATTCTGTACGGGATTGCATTACACTGGAACAAACAATTCAAAAATGTTTTTAACTTCATTACTCAGTACACAAAACAATAACTTAAACCACATGCTGTGTTTCACATGAAACAATGCATATATAACACAAACTAAACAAGTGAAGAAAATGCAATTTTCTTTCCAGCTGGCTTCCCATGATTTTGCTCAAGAATGTATGTAGAAGCAGAAACAGTAATTTGCAGACACAGTGAGATAGGGAAGATTGACTTCACTTTCGGCCTTGTTTGTTGTCCGGCCCGGCGCTGGACACATGGGCCATGTAACTCTAGTTGTGACCACACAGGAGAGGTTCTGTGCGGAGGGGGTCGGCTCCAGAATGGAGACAGATGGACGGAGGGCATTTCTCACACAGAGAATGGCCTCCACTGTTCCTGCGCTGGCCGGAGCTCACAAAGATCATTGATTTTGACCACGTTGAGTGAAGGACTCGCTAATATCTCATTTCAGCACCGTCCTCAGCATGACCATGACACCTGTTCGGAGGTCAGGTCTAAAGAACACCTCGACTGCGGGAATCCGATCGCATCCCGGGCTTTTTATTTCTAATTGTTTGGAGGTCAATGAAATTTTACATGTTCAGTGAAAACATAGATTTCATAATTGAAAATGTATATCATTTATCACCATGTGTGTCAGTGTAGTGCAGTTTGGGGTTACAAATGAACTTTGAAGCAAAAAATGGTACCTGAAGTGACAAAAATGGCCCATTTATTTATTTAATATATAAAATGTTCAGTGTGTATATACATTGAACTGTGTACTATTTACAATTTATTTTTTCAAAAATCATATTTTTTTTATAATTTATACATAAAATGATTGGTAATATAAATATGTAAATGTATTATTTAATATTTAATATATATATATATATATATATATATATATACTGAAGTATATTTTATTTTTTTACAATTATATTGTACAAAAATATATATTTTATTATATAATATATTAAATTATATACTGAATTATATATATTTTTTTACAGTTATATTATAAAAAAATATATTTGATTATATAATTATATTATATAATCTATTTAACATAAATGGATAAAACTGTTTTTACATGATTACACGACAATATACGTCATAAAGCCATAAATATGAAAAAAAAAAACTTTGAAATAATGACTTCTACAGTGATAACGTGTGTTTCTGTCCCTGCTCAATAGGAATGACTCAGTTTTGGGAGTTCACCCTTTCTCATGATCAACAGGACAGGGAACCTGGTCAGAGAGGAAACTGACCTGGCATTTCACATGATAAACTCAAGACAGGAAATTCTACTTCAATAATCATATTTTCATCAATTTCCTATTTCCTGTCTTCAAACCCTGACTCTTTCCCCCTTCCACATTTACCTTTGCTCCAGTGTCCTGTTTCCAACTTCCTTAGGTCCTTTGCTCCAACTCTATGAAAAGAGAGGGAAGGAGGGGTAAATAAAAGGATAAGCAGTGGGTTTCAATAGCATAATAGCTAACAGCTAATGTCATAATCTTTAAGCTAGAGGACAAATGCTATTCCCATATACAGGAGGGGTCAAAGAGACGGCCAAATAAACCTTACTTGTTTATATTTTCAAGGTAAACAGTTAAACAGCAGGCATCTTTTCAGCAGACCCTTTTGACCCTTGAAGCAACTGTATACTAGCTATATAACTGCTGAGGCACTGTATAAAAAGGAGAGAGTGCAACAGCTACTTTGTAGAGGAATTGCATGGGAACAACATGACTGGAGAGATCTGGTGGTGTACCACTTACTGTACTGCGGCCAAACTTTTATGGACAATTAATTTTTTTTTTCTCATTTCAATTGTGCTTGGCCTTTAAAACACTAGCCTTGAGTAGAAAAAAAAAGAAAGAGGGACAGCATATTCTTATTTCCTGAGTTACAGGAAATGACCCTTCAAGTAAAGAAAAATATATTTGTCTGAGGGATAGTAAATAAAAAAACGTGAAATCACTCTCCAGTAATCAGCTCAGTTGTAGGCTACCAGGTAAAACTGACTCTGGAAATCTCACAATTTCCCCCTACATGCTTAGAGATTAGACTGTAAAGTAATCCTGTAAGTGATAATTAGTTCCTCACCTCTTACTACCATCTCAAACTCTCCCCCATTCTCTGTTCAGCAAAGGGAACCAAGGAAAAAAATGTCAGTAAAACGCCGATTGAACTGAAGTGCTCCCTCTACAGGCCAACAACCCACACTGCGCAAACACTTTAAAGCCACTACAATTCATTTGCATTATCTGTGAAATTAAAATAAATTATAAATTAAAATAAACAGTTATATACTAACTGGAGATCAAATGCATTCTTGAACTTAAGTGAAAATAACATTTCCTATCTAAACTCTGAGGATACAACCCATATCATCAAAGTATTGATAAGTTCGTTGGAAACACTTTGAAATGCAATCTCCACTATTGCTGTCAACCTTCAGTTGTGTGTCTCTTACACCCTGGGGGGAGATTACTCTGTACCACAGTTCTTGTTAAACTTGTTTAAAAAAGCATACTCATACTATTTTTTAAATTAAAAAATAATAAACTCGGTGTAGTTCAACAAGTTCCTCGCATCTCGCCTACAGTCCTCATGTTAAATGCACTAATAAAGTGTGGTGAAAAAAAATGCCTTTAGAAAAACATCCACCTCTGGCTGAGAGGAGGTAGAGAGGAGGGGGGATGTTATGACCCCGTCCTGCTCTCCTCCGCCCCACACAGCCCAGGGCAATGTAGCGTTGTACCAAACATCCCCAGTCAATCTGCCTCCTCCTCCAACATTTCTATAAAAGTTTTGTCCTAAGTGGTGCTGTTCTTCCTCGGCTGTAACACATAGGCTACAGAAGGACAAGAGTGCAGTTCTTGCCCTGTCATAGTTTGCTGAAGTGAGCTGGGAGGGGGGTCTGTCCTTGAGTGCTGTACTGTGCATTTTAAAGTGGTCTCAAAAGTAGCACTATACTATTCAATTTGATATAATACTCTTTAGCTTTATAGGTTAGTTTTTAATGTAAATATAAAGAATAAAATATAAAGAATATAAAGAGTAAAATATAAAGAATTTACAGAAAAACTACTTCAAATTGACACAAAAAAAATGGTTACAATGAAATAAGAGTTATTTTTATAATGAAGTTATTTTGAAGTAGGCCTATAGGCTATATGATTAACAATACATTCATGAACGAAATGTTTTCTAATAATGCTGTAGTAAATTGTACAGTTCTCTTTGTACTTGCCATTCATCAACTCAGTTTAACTAAAAGTTGTAGATTAATTCGTAGCAGACAAATATTACAAGTTTAAAAAAAAAAAAAACACGGAGTTGCAGACGTTGAATTAGCGCGTTACAGAACTCCGTGCAGAAATCATCGAAACAAACAACTAGACTCATGGTCGCTGATTTACTTATGAGCGTGTACAAGAGGTCTAGCTAACTTTTAAACTGCTTTGCTTCTGAGGGAGAGAGAAGTGAAAACGTGAGGGGGGGAAAGGCGCTTGAGAGAAACGCCCATATGTAGCGACGTTTCGTGGCCCCTCCTGCATTTGGGTTAAAAGGAAATGCTTCGAGAGGAGCAAGACAGAGGGGGTTTCATATAGGGCAACACAAGTTTACACAACCAGAACCTAGCTTGTTATAATTTAAAGTATCCGATTCTTCTCGCAGTTTGATTTATCCTCGATTGGAAGATGACCACAGCCGTGTTGTCGCCTTTCTTCGACTTTAGCGAAGTGATCAGCAACAAGGTAAGAAAAAAAGTTTCAGCTGGATCAGTTTGTGTTGTGGAATGTGGACGATCAGACTTGGAAAATAAGTTTGAATGGACGGTTTTTGGTTATTTTAAGTAACAGCAAACAACCACGACTAAATTGCAACAGCTTTAACCACTCTGAATTCAAATTTTAAGTTTAAAATGTAGCAATGAACGAGACTTCAGTGCGTGCCAGCGGCTTGCAGCCAGTAAAGTTCCCTGTTTAGGTTGTTCTGGAGAAGTCATGGCTGTGATTTTACAACATGTGGATAGTTGATGCATAATGTTTCATCAAGATTTAAGTTTAAAAGTTTCTGAATGTTAAGGGAAAGTGTTTCTCTTAGGTCCTTGCAATTAATTTGTACTTTATCATCATATTAAACTTTTTTTATCTTCAATATTTCATTCAAAACGGTCATGAAGTGTTACAAATGCATTAAAGTACTTCTATTCAATTAACTAACTTCGTTTCAATTGAGAGACTACATGCATGCAAGTAAAACTTGGTGTTTTAATATCGTTTGACGTTGTATTACACATCAGTAGCCTACACGTCAACTTCCCACAAGTATCAACTGCTATGTATCTTTCAGATTGCTTCCTTTTGAAGTGTTTAAGCTACTGATAAATCAACATATACTCAAACCTGGAAAAAAATTGACCTGTTTTGGTGTAAGAACTTGAATGGTGTAGGAATCTGTGCAAAGTCAGGGCTGTCCCATGATTTCATTGAATTAAACTGTGAGGAGTGACTTAGAAAACCAGTGTGTCAAGCTGGTGAGCTGATCTAAGATATGAGCTTATTTCAGTGGTTAACCCGTGTTAACTGACCCTGTGTAGTACAGAGATATGTTCTCATGTAAAATACTAGTTTGTAGTGTCACACATGACACTGATCTTGTTGTCAGACTGGGTTCTTAATCTCCACATGGGTCTATGTACAAACCAAGTCTCACATTTGATACTGTATGCGTTGTTGGGTTTTTAATCGTATCAGATATGCGCAGCAGTCTTTGCTTTTCTAAAGCAGTCAAGCGTTCTCTTAGTGGGCATCAAACCAAACTAGCTATTGTTTAGGCCTGTATTTACTCATGGGTTTAACAAGAAACCAGAGCAAAAGCGTTAAGCCATGTTGTGGCTTTCAAAAACTGAATTCCATGTCATTATTTTCCATTTTTTTTGTCTCTCCTTTTGTAGAACAAAATGCTGAACTACAGTAACAACATCCTCAGTACACCGCACCCTGTCTCTGTCCCTTGCACGGGGGCAAATCTGCCCATCTCCAACCCCACTGGGTGCCTGCTGGACAGGAAGGCTGTGGGGACGCCCTCCACTGGGGTTTACCAGCGCCGGCACTCTGTCACTTTGGCTAGCACCAAACTCAACCAAAACCAGTTCTTGAACATTGCTAAGGCAGATCCTTCCCTGCTCGGCTCAGGGACAGGAACCACCGGCAGCAGCAACAAAGAGAACCGACTTCGAGACCGCTCCTTCTCAGAGACGGGGGATCGCCTGCTACAGAAGTGTTCGGGCCCTGGAGGCCCCAACAGCCAGGTCAACTCGAGCCGTTACAAGACAGAGTTATGCAGGCCATTCGAGGAGAACGGTGCCTGCAAGTACGGTGACAAGTGCCAGTTTGCCCATGGCATTCATGAGTTGCGCAGCCTCAGCCGCCATCCCAAGTACAAGACGGAGCTCTGCCGCACATTCCACACCATCGGCTTCTGCCCCTACGGTCCGCGATGCCACTTCATCCACAATGCAGAGGAGCGCCGCGGACCTCCTCCAACCCCATCCCCCCTTTCGGCCTCCAACAAGATGGAGAGGCCTCGGCTGCAACACAGCTACAGCTTTGCGGGGTTCCCCAGCTCTGGAGGCTTGAGGGACAGTCCCACCTCGGTCACCCCTCCACCTATATTTCCGCCTGACGATCTCCCCGACTGGCCTAGCAGCAACCCCTTCACGTATTCCAGCCAGGAGCTGGCCAACCTCTTCAGCCCCAGCCTGGGAAGTGCACCTTTGTCCTGCTCCGACCCTTCCACCCAGGCGCCATCTTCCCCAACACCAACCCCTTACTACTTCAGGGCCATGTCAGAGTCTCCCCAACTCTACGAGTCTCCATCCAGTCAGCCAGATTCGCTTTCTGACCAAGAGGGCTACCAGAGCAGCTCGAGCGGAAGTCTGAGTGGCTCCGAATCTCCCGTCCTTGACACCACACGCCGACTGCCCATCTTCAGCAGGCTTTCCATCTCCGATGACTAATGCGCATTGAGCCGGACCCCATCCCCCTTTCTACTGCACGCAGCAGTCTTGGGCAGAGAGGATGAGACGCTAGCACTCCCTCTACCTCTCGCCATTTCTCCGGCCCCCTAGAAGCCGTAGACTTCCCTCCTTGTATCGCCTCTACTCTGAAACCGATGCAGTGAATTAAGGGATCTTTCTCTTTTTGAGTACTCTTTTTAACCAGAACAAGCTAAAACTCTCCCAGCCTCAAGACCCTTCTGTTTTCCGAGCCTCATCTCGCAGAGCCCATTGGTGTGACTGTGCCAAACACGCAGGAAGTGGATTAGCGAAATGCTAATCGTGAGAGGTATGAGACTGTTGTGCCAGGTGCCACAGCTGCAGTCAAGTGTAGCGAAGCCTGTGGCACGGTTAAGGGTGAGATCTGCGCCCTTCCCCCCCTCACAAATTGCCACTCTTCTCAAGGACACTCTTTCATAACTACCTAAAGTTCACAAGTGTCATGCTTAGACCTTTCACAACTGTCTTTGTAGACCGGTTTAAAGCGTAAAGAGGAAAAGAATATGAAAAAAAGACAAGTGCCTGGGGTTAAGTGTTGGGGTGAATAGACCACTGTTTCTTTTATCTTTAATATATATTTTTTCGTTCCTTGTGGCCTAATTATGTAGCTCTTGTTTTGAGTGTGTGCTCTCCCTCCCTTGAAGTTGCAGATTACACATTAGTCTGCTGGAAGGACTTCTCTCATATGGGTTGAATGGGAATGGAGCTCTGGAATATTTCAGGCACATTTAAATGTTCAATCAGGTGCTATGTGCTCCATGTCTCGCTTACAGCTAGCCTGAGATGTCTCCACTCAAAAATGAACAATTCCTTACGATTTTTGTTGTTGTTGTTGTTAGTGCCCCTTTTTCCCATTAGTTGCTGCCTGGTTACTTAACGTTTGTTGGGAAGGGAATCTTGTTATTAAACCTTACAGACAAACTCTTTCTTCTGTCCCACCTCAAAATGCCGCCTTCCCTCAGTCCAATCGGCAAACAGAGGGGGAATTCCATCATTCCCAAGGTGCAGTTCAACCTCCTGCAGCTTCACTTTAGTTTTTCATGCACGTTTTCTCTCTCTCTCTCTCTCTCCATAGATTCTGCTCAGAGGAGCACTTTGTAATTTTGTCATCTTTCCACCTCTTGGTTTTGATTTTTACTATGGTCATTGTTTATTATTATTATTATGGTTATATTATTGTTATTGTTTGAAAACCTTTCAGAACAGAAGGTTTTGCTTGTCACTGCTTATTTAACTTATCAAAAACATATTTATTGGTGATCATATGCATTTTTTGTTAATTTTGTTTGTATTTATCTTGATAATGAAACGATAGAATATATTTTCTTTTATGTTAAATTATGATCTTCTGTATTAATCTTAAGATTGTGAAGACTTGTCAGCTTTCTTTTTTCACAGTTTAATATATTGTACTACAATGACTTTTGTTGGCAACTACACTTAATTTAAAGCAAAAAAGCAAAAGCAAAAAAAATCTTCTGCATTTTGATTTATTTATTGTCATTCCCTTTTCCCAAACATTTGACTGCAAAATCAGTACTACCACACAATCATTCCTTGAAAATAAACTCATATGATTATATCAGTACAGGTATTTTAAAAATGAAAGGAAGAAAATACTTTCCACTTCCACACTCCACCCCCCGTCGTTTCTTAGAAAATCGTTTCTTAAGCACCAAATGTTGCATTTTGTTGTGAATAACGGACTTGGATTACAAATCCAGTTTACTGAATGCCTGAGCCTGGTGAGAGATATGATATAATATGGAAAAAATTATCAACACGCATTGTTTTTTCAGATTAACAAGTTGATTCAAGATGCAGGAGTTTTGTGGCCTTAAAACACAAGTACCACATTTTTAATGCCACCATGAAGTGCTTTTTTATTGTTTCGATTGTTCGTTACAAAGGTTTAATGATGTTGCAAGTAATAAACCTCCAGTGTTAAAGCAGTTTATTCGATTATGGTGGTGGTGGATATGATGAATTGCAGGCAATAATTGTGACCTAATGGGTTAAAGTTCTGTTGTCTGTGGACGTTTAGAGCTTCCAGCCCATATGTAAAGTGCCTCTTTACACATTCCAGGAGCAAGCATTCTTTGCCTTAAATAAAGCTGGGATGTTATTTTTTTATGACTTATTGCTTGTATCTTCAGTGGTTAAAGCAATGATTGTCCAAGTTGGTTAACAGTATAGACACAAAGAAAGTAAAAAAAAGAGTTGAATGTATTTTTTTTTCATATTAACAGCTATTGCTGTTCACTACAGTGATTTCTATGAGTTTATATAAGATTGATCTCTTTTTGTAATGACTGATTGCAGTTAAAACCAATAAAAACCCATATTTTTGAAAAAATAAATGATCTGGTGTATCATTTCTTGCAGTATTTATCTTGTGGTGAAAGCAAGGCGATGGATGACTTGGAGCAAGGACAATTAAATGCGTCCAGCTGTCAAATGCTATTAAAGTTTAAAGAACCAATATTATCAATGATCGTAATAATGTGTGTTTATAAAGCAGGGTAGATGGTTTTGGCTATGCATACTACCAAATTGTCTTGAGAATGTCTCATTCCAAGCTTGACTGAATTATATTAGCGACTGACCACTGAGGGGAAGAGAACTCAAACTTATTTGGTTAGGACAGCAATTTTCACAGAACCCCAATTCTAGATCATTATGGCTTTGCTAATCTCTGGATCTGGCATCTGTAATGTAGGAAAACAGATATTCTGCATAGAAACATTGTAACCCATGGTTGACTGTCATGAGGGAGTTGTTAGGAATAGTCTTCAGTCTAGAGAAGGAATTGAGGGGGTACTGACCTAACTATGGTCAAACTCCATTACAGTTTCTAATGGGAAATCTGCTTCCCTGGTTTCTTCTGAAATGGTTATGAATTCAGGTGAGAGAAGAAGTCAAAGCATGACACATTACATCAGGGCAACCGTTAGAGCCTGGCCGTTATGTAACTTTGTCCTCAAACAGATTAAGTTAACTGAAAACCCCCTTATACCAAGTACAGTTGCTTTGACATCAGATCTCACAGATTTAGGAAGAATCGCCAGTTTATCTGTTTATCCGTTTCCTTATCTGATGTCTTCCTAAACAATGGGGAATTTTTTTTTTGCAAATGTAGATATTTAAACTATATTACAATAAATCACAACAAGGAGAATGTCAGAGCCTCTGTAAAGCAAATCTGATACTGCTTCTCTACATGTACATAGTACATATGAACACTCAAGTCAGACTTAGACTTGTATCCTAAAATTATGTAAAAAAATATCTTAATTCCATTGCATGAGATGCACAAGCAGACTTAAGCAAATCATTTCACAAAATCATTATGTTTTATTAACAATATATAGAGCCGACTTCTGTTCTACCACAGTTTTTTCAGCATCCGTCCACCCCAACTCCTCACTCTCAATTATTCCTATCCCATCCTGAGTTTGGGCCAAATTCCAAGTTTGGACAGCATGCAAATATGCATATTTTATACTATATCTGATTATATGCAAGCGCAAACTTCGAGAAAAGTTTGTGAGGTTTGTGAAAAAAAAGAAATGAGATATATATATATATATATATATATATATATATATATGCACGTTTATACATATGCATACTGTCCAATTTTTTGGGACAGTTTCTGGTTGTCAAAACTTAGTGTTAATTGTCCACAATGACCTACATCTGTGGTTATTTTGCTATAGGACACCCATGTAAACTGTGGGAACTTGACATTATCTTCTAAAAATAGCATGATTTGTTTATAAATGCCATTTAGTTACTTTATAACGCAATGACATTTGTGCATTTAAGGGCCTTTTTTAGGCTTGTACAATGCTTCACTGGTAGATATGGTCAGTGTATACGCAGAGTTCAATAGATGTTTGGATTGAGCAACTTGCTGGCACCAAACAACAAAATAGCTTTTTCCAAAAATCAATAAAATATGTTCCTTGTTTCTATTTCCATTGTGCATGTGATGGAAAGAATTGGTATGTTCAGTTGCTTGGTATGTTCTCTCAGGTATAACTATATAAAGAAACCCTCAACCTCCCCATCTTTCCTTCACTGCACACACTATCTCCACCCTCGTGAGCGAGGCCACATCCTGCAGCACTTGTAAAATGTGCCTGTAAACATATAGGTATTCTGTGTTCTCGTCATAAACAGGAAGCGGCACTCTGTTGCGCTTGCAGTGCGGCTGGAGAAAGAGAAAGAGGCTACGGCCCGGAAAGCTTCATGTGTGGCTTCTGTAGCAAACAGTTGCTGTTTAACCTGAGGATGTGTATCAGGGTTGAGTAACACTCGTGGACTTTCTAATTCATCTATCAGGAAGTCCTGGAATGGATTGCTATTTTTGAGCAGAGCTAACAGGCAAAAATTTGCTAATTCTGCTTTTTGTATGTATTGCTAGCAACAGCTGAGCATGTGTGTGTGTGTGTAGCACAAGTGGAAAGCCAGAAAAGTTACTTGTTTTCTTTAAGGTAAGAGGTTGTCCTTGTCCATGTGAATAATTTTACATGAGACCATTAAACTGAGATATATTACCAAAACAATGAGGAAACAAGTCTAAAATTGTGTTACCGTAAAGCTGAAAAATAACAAGTTGGTTGTGTCATGGACAAATTTCCCAGGGCCCCTGTAGGCATGCAACTGGTTTCAGATTACAACAAAAACACCTGAAGATATTTACTATCATAAAAAAAAGGTAAAACCAGAATACCTTGAAGAGATGCCTTGGCAACCTCAGATGACCCCCTAGAACTGTGAACCCCATCGAATGTTTTAGACAAACTACCCCCCTCCATTTTCTTTATGTACTTTATGTATTTTTGGAGCAGCCTGTGCCATTTTACCTCAGTTATGACAATTAACCTATGGCTAAGCCACGCCCCCTCCACTCACTCGGACAAACAGTCAACATTCGGGGACAGGCGCTATGGCAGCGGTCACAGTAGGAGACATTTCACAGGAGGTAATTGGTGATTTTGGAGACAGAAAGATTATATATCATCTCGAAGTCCCCTAAAGGGTCTTAACTATGCATTGGGGGGTTATATTAATAATTTTACTGTTGAGAAGGTCGATGAAAAGCTTCAGCTCCAGGCGAAAATGTACAGGTCACAGTGTAAACGTGATAAACCGCATATCATTGCCATCACCGTTTGGTGCTACAGTATTTACATGAAACATTCAGCACAACATTGTTAACATTTGTTATCTCGGTTATATACAGATACGTTAATGAAGCTAAGTGACATGACGTGGCTACAACGTAGCTAGAAGCTAACGTTAACGTTTTCTAATGTTAGGCTAACGTTAGCCTAAAGTTACGTTAGAGATTTTAAAGATAACGTTCAAATACGTTGTTGACTTAACTTAGAACAGATGTAGACTTCCTTGTTTAATTTATCCACGTTTAGTTGGTGTTGTGGTCTACCGCATATTTTAATCGCATAACTTAATCCAGAGCAGACACTTATCTCGGTTGAGATGTGGCTTGGGAAAGGGTAAAAAAAATACACACCGTCGCCCAGCCTCTCGGGAACCTAGTGTCAGAGTTGCATGTACCCCATGCACACCGTTTGACCATTTTAAACTTAAAATAACAAGAAAAAACGAATGAAAACGGACTAACTGCAATTGATTTCAATGGACGTGGAAGCAGAGAATGTCCGAGCGTATTGGGTTAGCTGCGCACTGTGATTGGCTCATCCTGTTTGAGGGCGTGGCTTAGCCATAGGTCAATTGGAAGGTCCACCGATAGTCATTCTACATGTGAAGTTTCCGAACTTAGCCAAGAACTCACACCCAGGACCAGGAATGTCTCCCCCCAAACTACTGATTCTGAAGTTGTGCAGTTAATGAATATTAACCTTGCCCCCCTGGCTGTTTCCATAGTCCATCAAATGGGTTCTTTTCCCTTGCAGAGCAACCCTTGACCTACACACAGAGCAGAAGAGTTGACAGAAAAAGGTGTTAGGAAGAAAAGAGCTCGAAAAAATGTGCGGTTTGGAAAGGCTTCAACATGAAGGTGCGCTGGTAGTGGAACCAGGTGCAAAGGAAAGTGTGGTTGTGACTGCACCCAGCCACTGGGTTCTATTTGCAGCATTTCTCTGGCTGCTGAAACAGCACAATGTTGCATAAAGTAGACCAAGTTAGATAGCTGAAACTGAGCTGCTTAACCCTGTCATATCTCTGATCTGTACTGCGCTTACTGTTTGGGTTGGATCTTACTGTAGGACTTTCAAGAGTTGAGTTGAAAGCAACAGAGAAACTGCAATATCTGGACAGAAAAGACATATTAGATGACAGATGGGATGCTGGAGGAGAAATGCTGAGGCTGATATGCAACTCCATGACCAAAAAAGGTAGAAATAGCAATAAGTATTCCTCTTCAATAAAATGTCAGCCCCCAAGGTTAAGGCGGTTTTGCAAAAGTGCTTTTGTTGTTGTTTTCATTTCACATGCGTGTTCATAAGGAACACCTTAACATTTTCAACATTTCAAATTTCTGTCAAAAGCATCAAAGTACAGTGAGGGGAATGCATACCTCAAATTGTTTGATGTTGCTTTTGACATTTTAAGGACGTGAGAGTAATGACGCACAATGTGTCTGAAGCTCCAAACCACCTTTCTTTCATGCCCTTCCTGCCTCGCATGTTCTCAAACACTATAGACCCAAAATAACTTGTTGTTTTCACTCTGATAACACACACATTCAGTCACTGACTTTGCTGACTCCGGTTGAAAGCAATGTTCTTTCAACTAGATTCAAACTGGAAGTAGATTTTAGTATTACTGGGTCATTCATATTGACTTCAACTTCAATGAGAGTTGGAGATGTGAGAAAACCATTGGCGCTGAAATGTAAATGCGATGTAATGTGGCGCCGAACAAATGGAGGGTGGACATGACATGATCTGAAGTCATCACCTCCATTAATTCACTGTGAATAAACCATAAAAGGGGAAAGAGAAAGGTTGGCGTGGTCTTAAAGGTCAAGCTCTAGACGGTAGGCGACTGGAAAGTTGAACCTGGTCTATTTGTGTGAGCATGTGTGGGTGAAAGTGATGACGCTGAGACCCTTCTCAGACAGTGTCGGCCCAGATCCGGCCCACATCTGGTACGTGTGGAATCCACATGTGGCCCGGAGCTGGGCCGACACTATGTTGCTGTCTGGGTTGTGCCAGCCAGACCAAAACTTTAACTAAATATTGCCAAAGCTTCATGATCCAACATGAGTTCCAAACTCAGTCTGGGTCCATCAGAACATTCCAGGATAAAGGATAATTTAGGGAGTTAAATATTACACAAGTCAAAAACTCCAGACAATAATTT